AAGTCTGAGTGAGGAGAAAGACACCAAGCTATGGGGGAGGAAACCCTGAGCAGGAACCAGCACAGACTTTGGAGGGATGACAAGAAAGCCAAGAAGACTGCTGCCCAGTGAACGAGGGACCAGGGTAAGGAATGAGGGAGAGGAGGGCAGGCGCCATGGCTCACAGCCCTTGTAGGCCATGGTCAGGGCTGTGGATGCTGTTCCCATGGTAACAGGAAGCTATGGGAGGGTGCTAAGCAGAGGGGTGATGTGACTGGATTTGTGTCTTCTGTGACCACTTTGATGCTATGTGGAGAACAGAGTATGGGGGCTGGGTAAGGAAAGGGGAGCGGCGCATGAGTATAAGGCTGCTGTGCTGGTATGGGTGAGCTAGGGTGCTGGCTGGAAGCAGGGTGCTGGAAGTTTCTAGATCTGGGCACAGGCAACACCTTCCCATCACTGCTCAGTGCGGTGGGGTTAGGCTTCAGATCGAGGTCTAATTCCGAGATCTGGGCTAGACACCTCTGAACCTCTGCGTCCTGGCCTGGAAACACCGGATTCGCCGGTTGCTCCCAAGAGAAATTCAGATGAACAGCATCCGGCAGAGTCCCCCACACCTGTGGTCCTCAACAGATAGTGCTTCTGGTCTGCAATCCCACTGCCCCCCCCCCCCCAAAAAAAAAAAAAAACCGAAATGAACTGAGGTTTATTTTGTCTTCATTTGTTTCCTTGTCGGTGTATTTGTAGCCCTCTGTCTAGACCTAAAGCAGTGGTTCTCAACCTTCCCAATGTCTCGACCCTTTCACACAGCTCCTCATGTTGTGGTGACCCCCAACCATAAAGTTATTTTCGTTGCTACTTCCTAACGGTAGCTACTGCTACGAATGGTCATGCGAATATCTGACCCGCAGGGTGTCTTAGGTGACCCCTGTGAAAGGGTCATCCGACCCCAAAAGGGGTCGTGACTCACAGGCTGAGAACCGCTGACCTAAACCGACAGGAGCTGTTGAGTCTATCACATTCTGCTGCCTATTTCTCCTTTGGCTGCAGAAATATGCTGGGTGGTAAGTGCTAACCACAAACCCTGCCGAGAGAGAGCATTACAGAATAGACAGGGTTTATGCTGCACCGCCCTTCTAAAAACCGGAAAGCTCCGAAGACCACAGACACCTGGCCCGGGGTGCCAGGATAAGGATCGCCAGGCGGGCCATCGTTTTCAGGAACGCAAGTGGTTCGTTTAAGTTTAGTCACAACCGTGAGACCACTCGTCCAGCTGGAGGGGGTCACAGATCGCAGAACAGCAGTGGGGAAAGAGTCCTTATCAACCACCCATCCCGAAGTCCTGATCAGTGCTGTGTAGACTCAGTCCTGTCACCTCCCAGTAATTACTCATCCCCGGAATGGCAAGCCCGTTTGAGTTTAAGTGAAACCTATGCAGAAACCTACAGGGTGCTGAACAGTCCTGACATGGCTGAGAAAGTCCTTACAGGTTGGGGGGAGGACGGGGGAGGCGAGGCACTGGCCCCGGGCAGGTGTGGGGGTGGGGGTCGGGGTGGGGGTTGAACTTTCCGGAAGACACAGAAGTGCAAAGAGCCAGAGGCTGGCCTGGGTGCCCCAGCAGCGGTGCGGCCAGCCCCGAGGGGCCGGGCCCAGAGGCGGTGCCGGGAGGGCGGAGGGGCTATGGGGTGGGGGTGGGGGGACGCAGCTGGGTGTTGGGGGGAAGGGGGCGGCTAAGGCCGGGCAATTGGGAAACGACTGTAACTGCCCAGGGATCTGGGGCCAGGGATATTGAGCCACTGAATGGTCCTGCAGCCCCGCGTTTCCCTAAGGCTCCCACCAGCGGCCACCCCACCCCCCCAAGCCCGCAGGGTCCCGCACCCCGACTGCGGGCCGGGGTCAGGGCCCGGGCCACGGGGAAGGCGGGGCCGGGCCAGGACCGCTCACCGGCCCCAACCCCCGGGGCCGCGGCTGCGCGCCGGGACCTCCCGCTCTGCCGCTCGCTGCAGCCGAGCGCCCGCCTCCCCGCACCCGCCTCCCCGCACCGGCCGCCCCGCACCCGCCTCCCCGCACCGGCCGCCCCGCACCCGCCTCCCCGCACCCGCCTCCCCGCATCGGCCGCCCCGCCCCCGCCTCCGCGCCCTTCGCCGCCCCGCACCGGCCTTCCCGCACCGGCCGCCCCCGCCTCTGCCGCCCCGCACCCGCCTCCCCGCACCTGCTGCCCCGCACCGGCCTCCGCGCCCTTCGCCGCCCGGGGCGCCCCCCGCGCCGCCCGCCCCGCTCACCGGCGCCGCCGCTCCCCGCGCAGCCCGGCGGCTCTGGGCCGCTCGCTCTCGGTTTCGCTTTCCCCGCGGACTCCGCCTCCGCCTCCGCCTCCGCCCGCACAGCCAGTCCGCGGGGGCCCCGCACCGCCCGCGCCCGGGCCGGCGCCCGCGCTCTGGCCCCGTGGCCGGCGCTTCCCGCCACCGCTGGCCGGGCCCGGCCCCCTCCTTCCCGCCCGGCCCCCGCCCGCCAGGCCCCGGCGCCCTCCATCCCGGCCGGAACCTCCGGGCGCCCAGGGTCGGACCATCACCTTCCCCTCCCAAGGGCGGGCTGAGGGTGAGGAGGGTGAGGGTGGGGGTGGCTAATACCGGCTCCATCTACCGGAGAAGAAGCGGTGACTTGGCTCGCCCAGAGCCCTGGGGCTGGTAAGTTGCAAAAAGTGCCTTCAGGGCCAGAACAGGCCCCTGCCCCAAAGCACTCTCCCCCTTCCCGCGCTGTGGCCGCCTCATCGCCGGTACAAGGCCACGCACGAGGCCGGAGGAAGAGGCCTGGGGCATAACCTCCTTGTGTGCACCTGCCCGTCAGGCCTTCCATCGGATGCTTCATGCCAGCCGCTGTGCCCGTGGGCGCCAGCCAGGCCAGCGGTTAGGAGGGCCACCTGCTCCCCGCGGGGCCCCATGGGGCTCCCTGTCCGGACCAGGAATCCTCAGTGTGTGGGAACTCCTGCTCCCCTGGCGGACGGTGACCCCTCCCAGAGCGACACTAAGCCTGGCGGTGGGGAAAGCATTGTAGCTGTCCATGGACACGCGATGGAAGAAGGCTGAGTGAGGGCTTACCCCACAACAATAGGGCAAGGTCGGGGCCAGTACGATGGCCATTTGACAGATGAGGAAACTGGGGGTTGGGACAGAAGTTAAGTAGCCACAGCTGGTAGGCAAGGGAGCTGGGATCCGAATCAGGAGTCTCCCATCTCCATCTTCACTAGGGGCAAGGAGAGAAGTGGTCCCAAGAGGGACCTCAAGTGCACATCAAAAACTGGGCATCGGCTCCAGGAGTCCCTTTCCACTTCTCTTCTACATCCCCCGCTTCTTTCAGGGTATCCGTGGCTATACACTGCATGTTCCCGGGAGCCCTGGGCACAGGGTTCAAACACAGCCTGTTCCCTTGGGAATGTTCCCCACGGGCGCCCACTCCTGAGGAGGCTTTGGAGGAGCAGGTGGGCAAGCAGGCGTCTGCGGATGCCAGCCAGCTCCCCCAGAGGACTTTGTTCAGAACGAGTGGGGAGGATGTGGCAGCAGGAATGGGTGACTCTGCCAGCACCGTCATTGTCGGACCTCCTGAATCCCTTGTTTGCCATCATGGTATCTCGCCAAGGAACCCATTTTACAGAATAAGAAGTGAGGCAGCCAGAACCGGTTTGGCTCAGTGGCTAGAGCGTTGGCATGAAGTTCGATTCCGGTCAGGGGCGTGCGCCTTGGTTGCGGGCGCATCCCCAAGTGAGGGTGTGCAGGAGGCAGCTGGTCGATGTTTCTCTCTCATTGATGTCTCTAACTCTCTCTCCCTCTCCCTTCCTCTCTGTAAAAATATCAATAAAATATATTGAAGAAGAAGAAGAAGAAGAAGGAGAAGGAGAAGGAGAAGGAGAAGGAGAAGGGGAAGAAGGAGAAGAGGAAGAAGAGCGGCAGTACATTGGCTACCATAGGAGTCAATGGTTTTCTTAGGTACCTCGTTGCCCAAACGCTGGCCTTCTGGGACAGTGGGCTGGAGCAGTGCAGACAGTGGCAGTCCCTGGTGGGAGACAGCCCTCAGCAAGCCGCGTGCACTGTCCTTCCAGTGCCGTCTAAGCCCCAAACCAAGCTGCAGGAGACCAGGAGCAGCAGAAGGGAAACTGAAAGTGCTGAATCTCACGGTAAGCCTTCCCACACATGCTCAAAGCTCTGCCTCCTGCTCCTGTGACGTCATCGGCTCTGCTCCCCCCCATGGAGGACCTGCCCTTCCCCAAACAGGAACTCCAAGCCGCAGCCCGTTACTGCGGCTTCGTCATGCCCTCCAGTCATCAGGGAGACAAGGAAGACCCGACCGGTTTGGCCCAGTGGCTAGAACTTTGGCCTGAAACGGAAGAGTCCTGGGTTTTTATAGGGTGGGGTGTTTTTTTCAGTATGTAGGTTGTATGTGTCTAGGAATATTTTCATTTCTCCTAGGTTCTCTCATTGGTTGTATAATGGTCCTTCATTTCTTATGATGCTTAGTATTTCTTTGTTATCAGTTCTAATGTCTCCTCTTTGATTTGTGTGTTGTTTTGTGGGTTTTTTTTGTGGGGTTTTTTTTCGGGGGGGGGGGGGGAGTTGGCCTCTCACTCTAATCTGTAAATTTCTCTCTAATAAAAAGATTTTCCTTCTATATCTGTTTGCAAATGTGGGACTTTCTCCAGGATTTATGCCTAGGTATACAATGGCTGGAATGTAAGATATATGGTCATATAACTTTACCAAATTGCTTTCCAAAATGTAAAAGGGTATACTTCTGTTCCTCCTCTCCCAGCTTTTGTGCCAACCATTTTCTTCTACATATATTATAAATTGCAAAGTACAGGATTATTACTTTTTGGTTTGAATAGGCAGTTATCTTTTAAAGAGGTTTTAAAATGAGGAAAATAGCTCTTACATATACTCACCTATGCACCATCTCTGGTGCTCTTTATTCCTTTGTGTAGATTAACATTTCCATCTGCTATCATGTTCCTTTTACCTATACCCCTTTGTCGAATATTCCTTGTAGTGCACATATGTTAGGGACTATTTCTCCCAGTTTTTAATCTAGAAAAGTTCTTTATCTTTGTGTCAGATACATTTTTAAAAATATTTTTTATTGATTTCAGAGAGGAAGGGAGGAGAGAGAGAGAGAGAAACATCAATGAGAGAGACACATTGATTGGCTGTCTTCTGTATGCCAGAGCGAGCCCACAACCCAGGCACATGCCCTGACCGGGAATCAAACCTCTTGGTCCACGGGACAATGCTTAATCTACTAAGCCACACCAGCCGGGCATGTTAGGTACATTTATTTAATATCCCTCTTTTAGCTAAGTGGCCTTTTCTCAAAAAGTGAACAAACTTCAGTTTTTGCTGAAAAGCTTCAGGTATTATTATTGTTTTTAACTCTGTGTTATTTATCTCTACATGTTATTTATAATTATTTGATCATTGGATCAATGTGTTACTTAATTATTTAAATTCAGTTACGACTAAGGAAAACAAAACCCCCAGGCCTGATGAACTGACCAGAATCAAGTTTGGCAATATGACTCATACTTCAACTTGGCTCCGAGGACAGTGCCTGCTAAGCACTCTTGGAATTTTTCATCCATTTCCTGGTTCTGAGTTGCATTGAACAGATTTTTCCAATCACCAACTTCACCTACAGCACACACAAAAAAAAACAGTAGACCCAGACACCTGTTAGAATATTTTTCAGTTTGCCATTTTTCATTGTAGTGTTTCACTTTGAAGTGTGATATGACCATATACCTTATAACCCAGCAATTATACACCAAGGCATAAATCCTGGAGAAATGGACACATGAAAAAATTAGACAGTCTTGAAAACAAATGTAGCCCTAGCTGGTTTGGTTCAGTGGCTAGAACGTCAGCCTACGGACTGGAGGGTCCCAGGTTCAATTCCAGTCAAGGGCACAATCCCCAGTAGGGGGCATGCAGGAGGCAGCTGATCAATAACTCTCATTATTGATGTTTTTATCACTCTCCCTTCCTCTATGAAATAATACACACACACACACACACACACACACACACACACTAGAGGCATGGTGCACAAAATTTGTGCACTGAGGGGGTGTCCCTCAGCCTGGCCTGTGCCCTCTCGAAGTCCGGGATCCTTTGCTCCTTAGTGCTGCTGCGGAGGCGGGAGAGGCTTCTGCCACCACTGCTGCACTTGCCAGCTGTGAGCCCTGCTTCTGGCTGAGCAGCCCTCCCCTTGTGGGAGTGCACTGACCACCAGGGCGCAGCTCTTGTTTTGAGTGTCTTCCCCCTGGTGGTCAGTACACATCATAGCAACCAGTTGTTCTGGTTGGTCCACCATAACGGTCGCTTATCTGTGGTATGGTAGGTGACATGCATTTTTTTTGTTGTTGTTGTTAATCCTCACCTGGGGGTATTTTTTCCATTGCTTTTAGATAGAGTGGTGGTAGGGGGTGGGGGGAGAGGGGGTAGGAGGTGTTGGGGGAGCAGGAGAGAGAGAGAAACATTGATATAAGAGAGACATCTCGATTGGTTGTCTCCTGCAGGCCCTTCAACTAGAGCCTGGAATGGACCTGCAACTCAGGTATGTGCCCTTGATTGGAAATCAAACCTAAAACCCTTCCCTGTGTGGCCGACACTAACCACTGAGCACACTGGCCAGGGCGGTGACTTGCTTTCTTGATATCACTAAGCGGGACCTTGGTCCCAATGACCTCCCATCTCCATCTCTCTCCCAATACGCAGGACCTAAAATCCTACTTCCTCAAGAGCCAGTTTTTCCTCTCTAAAGTACTTTAAGTAGCTTCAATAGCCTTGAGAATTAACATTTTACAGCAAGTTTTGGTTAGGACCTCAGATTCTGAAAATTTTGCAAAAGGCGATTATTTGCCTGGGATTTGGATATGTTTTTCTCATTTGCTTTTAAAAGTAAAGGAAGTTGCCCTGACCAGTTTGGTTCAACTTGTTTGATCATCAGCAGTTTGATTATTTCAGGAGGCAGCCAATCAATGTTTCTCTCCCTCTCCCTTCCTCTCTCCCTAAAAATCAATAAAAAGAAGCAATATATATATATATATATATAATAGTAAAGGAAGTTACTTCTCCCTTTAGAATCCTTTGATCATTTGGGTTGAAGTTATTAGTTCTTTGTTGCATAAGCCATTGAAATTTATCCTCATAAAAAGGGTTTAAAGACATGAGGAAATGCTTACCCATATTTTCCGGTGTATAAGACGACCCCCTAATTTTACAGTTAAAACATAGGTTTAGGCCTATATTTGCTGTATAAGACTACCCCCCACTTCTGAGGCAACACCAGTTCTTTTTTTAATAGACCGCCTCTCTACTCTGGCCAATCTGAGCAGGCTTTTTTTTGGTTTCAAAGTCATCTTATACGCCAGAAAATATGGTAGATACATGAAGGGAATAAAATGAAACACAAAACTGTTTACAAATGTCATTGATTACATAAAACATCACAGAATAAAGCTGGGAGAAATATGCCAAAACATTAAACCTTCCCAGTGAGAGAAATAGGAATAACTTGTAATGCTTTTACACATTTTTCAGTGCTTTCCGAATTTTCAACAGAAATATTATTAAAAATCTTGGTATTAGGTTATTTATTTTAGTATTTTTCTATTCTGAATGGTATTTGATTAACAATGTATAGAAGAAAGGTTGCATTTCTCTCCTCCTTAAAGCTAATAAGACTGAACACAAAAATCAGGGCTACTGTCAGGAATCCAAAATGAAATCAGTTTTACAATCAATGTTCCATTCACAATGGATTTTGAAAATAGGCCTTCGCTTGAGAAAGTGTAGTTGAGTTAAGCAGACCTAAGTTCAAATCCTGACTCCATCATTTATTAGCTTTGTGACAGTGACAAATTACTATCTCTGTGCATAGTGCCCACGTTGTAAAATTAAGGATGAAATATTTTATTTTATTTTTGCTATGAAATTTAAGCCCATCAAGGGTCTAACACATGCTGGATGCCCAATAATTGATAGCTACTGTGGTTATATGGGCTGCCTCTAAATCACATGATACTTTCAATACATATGCAATGAAGTAAAACTGGCAATCCCTAAGCTATCCTATCATAAGTTTCCATAAGCAATTAGAATGCTATCATGAAATTTAGTAAAATCATCAGTGCCAGAGACAAGGCGTTGCCTACCCAATACTCATTTTCTTCTTCTTCCTTATTAACAAAACCCTCGTTTTCATTGGGTAATCATGTGCCCACCTGAAAAATAAAATCACATCTCCCAGCCAACAAGCGCAGTGAGAGGCGGCCAACAAGAAGTCACAGAGCAAGGCTTCCAGCAAAGCCCGTGAAAGGGGTCTCACTGAGCTAACACACATGGCTCTGTCTCTTGCCCTTTCCCTTTTTATTGTCATAAAATAATCCTTCCATTTTAATGTAGTGGTGGAGCTCTAGCTGCTCCCTCGTCATCACACAAGGTGACGAGCAGAAAGGTGGAAGCAACTCAGTACTCAACTAAGAGACACCGCGGTGCTGCCGGTTCCAGCTCTCACCCGTGGCCAGTCTTCTTGTTGAGAAAAAAACAACCTGTCTCATTTAAGATCAAGTGACAGGGGTCGCCTGCTCCGTACAGATGGACGGACGTCCTGGACACCACCGCCACCTTACCTTTGCGAAACAGGAACGGGCCCAGGGCCCCGTGCGTGTGCGGGGCCTTCGCTCGCATCGCCTGGAAGGTGCTCTGAGCAGAGATGGTTTGAATCTGCTCCCCCGTGAGAGAGAGTCCAAGGAACTCTGCGATTTGTTTTATTCCGGCGGCCAGATTCTAAAAACAAAAATGTAAAGGGTCACCTTCTTTCTCTGGGAATTGTTCCGGGAGCAAAGATGGGTTTCTGGATTTATGAAGCCTGTTAAACTCATCTATCTCTCTACTTAGATTTACTTGGATACCTCTGTATAATTAGGGGTGTCGAACTCAATCAGAGAAGGGGCCAAAATCTAAAATCCAGCCTAAATCGCGGCCGAATGGTTTACTGAACAGTCATAAACTGTCATTGTGATGGAAACGCAGCGGAGTGCAGTGATGACAGCGCAGTGCGGGCCACATTGCAAGGCCTGGCGGGACAGATTTGGCCCGCGGGCCTTGTGTTTGACACATGTGGTATAAATAGTCGAGATATCCTTAGAAGATAGAAGATAGTCTGTATTGGTTTCACTTTATGGTTTTAATTTAGAATTCTTATTCAACTATTTTGGATATAAATAATGATAGTAATTATTAATTAATACATTAGACTTTTATCTAAAATGAGTCTTTATTATTATTATTGTTGTTGTTGTTGTTGTTAACCCTCACCCAAGGATGTTTTTCCATTGATTTTTAGCGAGAATGGGAAAAAAAAGAGGGAAATTCAGAAACATCAAAGTGAGAGAAACACATCGATTGGCTGCCTCCTGCACACATCCATCCAGGGCTCTAGCCAGGGCGGAGCCTGCAACTGAGGCACATGCCCTTGACCGGAATGGAACCTGCGGCCCTTTAGTCCGCAGGCCAATGCTCTATCCACTGAGCCAGCCTGGCCAGGGCTGATTTTCCTCTTCGTATCCACCTAGAAGTAAACCACTTCTCATCGCCTCCACTGCTCTGGCCTGAGCCACCATCTTCCCTCGGCTGCACTCCTTCCTACAGGAGCCTCCTCTCCAGTCTGTTCTCACACACCAGCCAGAACGATCCTATTAAATCATGTCCACCGCTATCACATGTCGGCTGGAATCCCACAGTGGCTTTCTATTTCACTCAGAGTGAAAGCCAAGTGATTTCAATGAACTGCCACGCCATTCCTCACACTCCTCACCACGGGTTCACCTCTCCTGGCCCAGCACACCTGCCTGCTTCCTGTCCCTGCAGCACCCAGAAGCTCCTGCCTCGGGGCCTTTGCTTCAGTCCATTCTCTCTGCCTCAGAAGCTCTGGCCCCAGGCACCCACGTGGCTCACTCCTTCACTACCTGCAGATCTTTGCTTAAATCCCACCCTCTCCATGACCATCCCATTTTATACTGGGATTTGTCTCGCATCCCAAACCCCTATCCTCAGGCATCCAGTTTTTTCTTCGTCAGCTATGCCATTTCCTTTTCCTCACATATTACACACATTTTTATTTTTATTGGTTATTATTCATCATTCTGTCTTCTTGCCTTCTCCGGGGAGAATGTGAGCTTCTCCAGGGCAGTGAGCTTTGTCTGGTCTGCGCACTGATGTATCCCCAGGGCCTAGAACAGTGGTCGGCAAACTCATTGGTCAACAGAGCCACAGTTTGCTGACTACTGGCCTAGAACAATGCTGAGCACTCACTGTTTGTGAATAAACAATAAAAAATTACATGGAAAACATAAATTCAAAGTCGAATGTATGTTCAATTAAATCTCAGTTAAGACCTACCCATTGTTTTTCTCATTCCGAATTTGGACCATCTATCATAAAAGGAAAATAAAGCAGCACCTGTTAGTTACAAATTGCTAAGCATTATTTTATTTATATTAAATAATCAACCTAAGCACTTATGTGTTGTTTGTTTTCCCTAACAGCATACACATATCTGAATATTCTTCTTTCTTTTTCATTGAGTACAATATGTGTTCATACATCCAGACATTATAAATAAGTGTTCCATGTTGTAGTTGATAGTAAATCTTTCAGTAGAATGTAAATAATCTCACCTCTTTCAGGTCCTCATATAATATGAACTTAACATTTTCATTATCAAGATGTTTGTTCCAATTAATTGCAAAATTAAAATAGCTCCCCCAAGAAACTAAAAACACAAGAAAAAAATATTAAGGAATTTAAAATAACGGAGGTTAAAATATGAACTATATTTGAATGAGCTCAAAACAAGATGTTTATGTTATTATAAATCCCTGCTCCAAAAGGACTGGCACAGCCAGTCTTATTAGATATTTGTTTATTTATTTTCATAAATACCAATACAACTAAGCAAGTTGTAAAATGGCTTGATAAAAACTGCAAGACATTCATGAATATTTAGGTGAATAAAATAATTCAGAAACAGTGAGTGATACATGAAAATTGATAGATATAATGCCAGAAAGAAATGATGAGACAGATATTATCTAGGTCAGTATTGTCCAGTTAAGTAGCCACATTAAGAAAAAAAAAAAATAGGTGGACTTAATGTTAATATTTTATTTTATTTAACCCAGTATACCCCAAAATAGTATTACTTCACCATGTAATTGGATATAAACATTATTAATGAAGCATTACATACTACTTCTGTATTTTAAGTCTTCGAAGCCAGAATACTAAGTTTATATCAGAATCACTGGATATATGTTTAGACTACATAAAACGTACAGTTGGAAAACAGAGCCACTACTGAAAGAAGGCATTAATTAATCTGCTACTTAATGGCTGTATGACCTCTCTATGCCTCTATTTCTTTCTTCATTAAATGGGGATAATAATGGTATTATCCATATAGGGGTCTGATGAGGATTAGGGGTAAATAACGTGTGTTAATGAGAGCATGTAGTGCCTGGCAGTAGTCACTGCTAAGGAAGCGGTAGCTATTTTATCTCATAGTAATCACTATTTCATTTAAAAGTTAATTTTGGCTTCTGGATCCGACTTCATCTCCTTTGTTTCTTTACCCTAAAACACATTTGAATTTTCGTATTTATGAGATCATCTGTCAAAGTAAGAAGAATGGTTCTACCAGCAGCCATACCTTGTCCTCTCATGAATTGTCTGAAGAATTCTTCCCAGGAGCCATAGCTTGGAATATCAGGGACATCATTGTGGAAATGGAAAAAAGATACTGCGGTATCTTTAGGATTTCGAAATATCACCAGTATCTAGGGAGACAAAAACAAAACAAAACAAAAAAACCCTAAGTTAATTGATTTAGGTCTATGTTTTGAAGATCGGAGTAGATGACGTTTTTTGTGCTTGTTTTCTAAATATATTTTTATTGATTTCAGAGAAGACGGGAGAGGAAAAGAGAGCTAGAAACATCAATGAGAGAGAATCATTGATTGACTGCCTTCTGCACTCCCCCTACTGTGGATTCAACCCACAACCCGGGCATGTGGTCTTGACCAGAATCGAATGTGGGACCCTTCAATCCCCAAGCAAATGCTCTATCCATTGAGCCAAACTGGCTAGGGTGGAGAAGATGACCTTTAAGGTATTTTCCAATTCTAAGTTCCTAGGATTCTGTGCCCTGGCTACCCTAGTGATTTCTTCCCTCCTCCAGTATTTCCCCTCTTTCCTGTTACCATTGCAGTTATCTTAGCTGTTTCCCTCCTCCCACTCTCTTTGCTATTACTGCCCTATCCTCTTATTCTTATTTGTTTTTAATTAATTTTCATCGTTGCTCCTGAGACAGAGAAAAGAGGCACAAGAAATAAGGAATTGGGGAGAGTCAGGTGAAAACAAAAAGGTTTGGGTAAAAACTAATAATTATAAGAATAGATCCATACTGTTGAACAAAACAAAGTTTTTCTTTAAACAAAAAAGAGTAGCCAAAACACCTATAGTAATGTATGTATCACATGACGTATGAAACTCAGAAATAAAATCGCTTCAGACTTTAGGTAACTAGTGCTCACCAGATAGACCCAAAGGAACCATTTTTGCTCATCTTCCCAGGTTGTATTCTTTTGTTAAACACTAAATATCCTAGTGGGGTTCTGAAATCTCTTCACTATAAAACGTATTTTAAAACATATATGTTTTATGTCCTAGCTGAAAATTCCTTTGATCTATGCAACTACAACAGATATATCTGAGGAAAGAGACAACAAAAGAAGTGCCTAAATCTCGGTGTCATTTATTAAAATTCTATGATGAGTAACAACGTCATCATATAGCTCAGAAAGCCAATCGCTATACATTAAAAACTTCAAACTGAAATACCGGTTGGGAAGGACACTCACCTTAGCTTTATTCTTGAAGATGGACCCAGGGAGTTTGTCATAATGGAGATGAGTTGCCAGAATCCTCGGTGATGGAAACTGTTTCATTCTCTTAAAAATATATACAATCAAAAGGAAAAAATAAAAATATAAAAATATATACAATCAGGTGAAAGCGCACGCACGTGTGTGTGTGTGTGTGTGTGTGTGTGTGTGTGTGTTTGTGTGTATAGTGAATCACTCCTAAACTTAGTGAGTGTCTGATAGTAGTTTTAATCATCACTATTACTGTGTCTTCTCCTCTTTTTTTTTTTTTAAATATATTTTATTGATTTTTTACAGAGAGGAAGAGAGAAGGATAGAGAGTTCAAAACATCGATGAGAGAGAATCATCGATCAGCTGCCTCTTCCACACCCCCTACTGGGGATGTGCCCACAACCAAGGTACATGCCCTTGACCGGAATCGAACCCGGGACCTTTCAATCTGCAGGCTGACACTCTATCCATTGAGCCAAACCGGTTTTGGCTCTATTGTTTTTTTGTGGTTTTTTTTTTTTTACATGTCTATTTCCTTTGTGTGAATGAGGAGTGGAGAATCATAACAGAATAAATAGTTAAAATCTTCCTTTTGAACTTCCTTGTTGGGTACTGCATATCATTTTTTTTTTTTTAATTTACCTTTTCCCACAATCATACCAAATATTTTGTTCAAGAATGCTCATAATCCGCAATCCACTCTTTCCCTGAATTCGTATCTTTTCTACATTCAATAGAATGGGTCCAAGAGGTGATTGGGAGTCATAATACTTGACTTACAATAATTGCTCTTTTTAGACTTGGACGTAATTTTAGGTTCATTCACAATAATCCTCTCAGGTAGATATGGTAACCCTCCTTTTAGAGATTAACCACAGGCTTTGAGGTTTTCAGCTCTTTGTGAAGAATCACACAGGTGGTAATTTTCAGATTAAGTTATAGAGTCCTTTTTCCACCATAAAGACAAGTGGGAAATGGGAAAGTTCCTAAAAGAATTAGAAAAATACCCAAGGGGAAAGTGGGAGGTAATTCTAACAAAACCAGTTAAGCATATAATAATATGTTCATGAAAATGTGATGTAACCTAACAGTAAGCAATGTAAAGACTAGATATAGCTACGTCTCATTTAAGAAAAATATATGTTTTAGAAAAGTGTTCTGTAAAGTGAATATCTTTCATGTGGAGTTCTATGCAAGTTGCATAGAAAAATATTTTTGTTCTTAAATATGATAAAATTACAAAAATACAAAAAAATGTTTTTAAAATTATCTGGAGGAAAACAATAAATAAACATTTCTGATAAGTTACAGATATTCAAAACCCAAATACCATACAGAGTTAAGACATTTTCCAGAAACCCTGGAGCTACAACCACGTGTCTCACTCACCTTATAAAAAACATTTTCATGTTAATTCAGATGTTCTTAGAAGACTTCCTTTTTACGGAAGCTTTCCCAATTTTTTAAAAATAAGCTGGCTATCCTGTATAGACCAGGTTAACAACTCAAATCAGAAAACTTGGGTTCAAATCTTAGCTCTGCCATTTATGACCTCCTTGATCTTGGGCAAGTCTCTACACTGTTATCCTCTGTAACATGGTGATAGGGTTATTCTGTAATAAAATGAGATAATCCCTGAAAAGTGTTGGGGATATGGTAAGCACACAATAAGTTGCAATCGTTATTAGTATTGTACGTTCTGAACTCAAAACTAAAAAATCCCCCAAACAGAAGAAATCTTTCTTTGATTATTTGCGATAAGTGTAAAGGCTGTTTTAATACTAACCTGATATTTTTCTGGGTCCCCACATTCAAGAATTGGGAATTCTGGATACTCATACTTTTTTTTAGAATCAGCAGATATTAATTCACTAATGATGTGAAGAATCCAATTTGAACCTGTAAGGAAAATCAGACAAAGTTCACTAAAGAGGCTTGATATATATATAGTCAAGGCATGTTACTTTAGCATATACATCATAAAAAGTAAAATCAACCCACATTCCCTGATGGGTACAGTTGGTTCTTTTGTGTTTAAAATAACCTGGGGTGTGGCAGGAAACAAGGGTTTGTGGAAAACAGTATTTCCTTACATTAATAAAAAATTCAACTTATTTCTCAGATTTCTCCTTTCACCTGAGACAGTCCTTCTTTTCTAATTATAACATGTTCATTATAGAAAAATTGTATGCTGCGGCAATGATTGCTTTTATATGTCTATGCTATTTTATCTTATATTAATGAATGTTTTCAATAGGAATACATAGCTGATTTTATAAAACCCCAGCATCAGTCAAGAGAAAGAAAAACGTTAAATGAGTGAGGTCGGCTTTAATAGACAGAGACCAAATAACAGATAAAAGAATCCAAAGTTGACTGTGTAAAATAAAATAATTTGGACTCTTCATGTCTTATTGTCCACCGATGAACGGCTGTGGTAAAACTGGTTTGAGGAACTGGAGGGTTGGTGCTTGGTCCTGAAAGAGAACCCATTCCAGGGAAACCATTACCTAAATTATGGACGTGGCCATGGCGTTTCTTCAATCAAAAATCAAGATGGAAAACCTCTACTGCATTCAGTGCTCCATGGCCACCAGACCTTCCTGCACTCGTGTTTCTGTTTCCGGCCCCTCTGCGCATCTCTCTCCTTCTGCACCCACCAGCCGTCACGTTCATCTCACACACCCCTCCCTCCTCAGACACCCCGGTCTCCAAACGGAGCAGTGTCAGTGACTGACTTTGCAGCCTGGGCTGGGACCCAGCCTGGCCATCTCCTCCCTGGCTTCTGGCTGGCTTCTGGCCTTGCACCCTGCCCTGCCCACGCCCCATGAGGAGGTGAACGTGAGCTGTCACTTATTACCACACTTCGGATAAGAGGCCAGCACGATGTCATCGCTTCTGGCTTCAAAGGTGCCCAAGGCGTGGAAGGTTTCTGAGCTGCACATGGTGACGGGGTAAGGAACACCCTGGTGGGTGAAGAACAAGCGAGAAAGCGCCGTTTCTTTAGATTTTTCCAAAGCTTCGTCGATGTAGTCGATAAATTTCGACTTGTGGGCCATGCTGGGTGCCTGTTCGTGCAGCTGCCCTCCAGGGGCAGCGATGGCTTTTAAGGGAGCTGTGCAGGGGGCGGGATACATGGCTCCTCCCAGTCACAGGAGAAGGAAGTCATTTCGTTCCCACCCAGCACCCCTCCCCGAGCCTTAAATACTTACCTGTGACAAAAGGCAAACCCCAGGTGCAAAACAACTGAGGATCACAGAATATCACCCCAAGGGTTGATTATATTACCATTATAGACACAAGGAAGGCAAGAATGGGATCTGTAAATAGACAATAATATATATTAAATATCCAACAAATAATTATTTAATTGAATCAGGTATACAATTGTCTTTCTTTGTTTAATATATTTTATTGATTTTTTTATAGAGAGGAAGGGAGAGGGATAGAGAGCTAGAAACATCGATGAGAGAGAATCATCGGTCAGCTGCCTCCTGCACACCCCCTACTGGGGATGTACCCTCAACCAAGGTACATGCCCTTGACCGGAATCGAACCTGGGACCCTTCATTCCTCAGGCCAACGCTCTATCACTGAGCCAAACAGGTCAGGCTGCCGCTGCATTCTTGTTGCTTCTTCATGTCCTACAAGAAACAAGGCCATGGGACTTTTCACACAAACAAACAACAAATCCAAAGCTCTGAGGAGAGAGATTTTTATGACCACAAGGGAAATACATTTCCTGGGTTCTAGAAGACTTTATTTAATAACGGCATTTTGGGAAATCACTGTGTCAAATGTACACGGCAATTGTGAGATGCCTTCCAGTTTCAGAAATGCAAGCCCATGAAAACACATGCATCATAGAATGGTGGAAACTTTATGTCAACAGAAAGTTATCTTACTGAGGCAGTCAGTGGTGAATGTGGGAGGGCAACTTTTAATCTCCATTTCTTAAAAAAATGATTGTATCGTTGAGAGTATTATAAATGTGCCCCATGCCGAAACCAGTTTGGCTCAGTGGGTAGAGCGTTGGCCTGCGGACTGAGGGGTCCCAGGTTCGATTCCGATCAAGGGCACGTACCTTGGTTGCGGGCACATCCCCAGTGGGGGGTGTGCAGGAGGCAGCTGATCGATGATTCTCTCTCATCGATGTTTCTAGCTCTCTATCCCTCTCTCTTCCTCTCTGTGAAAAATCATAAAATATATATTTAAAAAATTAAAAAAATAAATGTGCCCCATTTCTCCCCTTTTGCTCCCCTCCACCCACCTCCCCTCCCACCTCAGGCCTTCACCTCTATTGTCTGTATCCATGGGCAATGCATGTGCTTATACATCCTTTAGTTAACCTCTTTTACTCTCCACTCTGAGAGGAAGAGCTGGCCCAAGAGAGTGCCTAGTTAGGAATAGGTGTCTGGGTTTGGTGATAGTTGTGATATTTTTTTAAAGTTTGTAAAAAGGTAAAATTAGAATATGGGAGTGTTTTGCTGTTTTCATTTCCAAACAGCACTCCCCCTCGAAGGTCTTATGACCTTACATAAGAAGAGGATGCTGTTCACTGAAGGTGGGAAGGTTGCGTATTTCAGAATTTCCTCTCTGAAAGGAAAAGGGGGAGGACTGGACTCTCTGCCAAGCTGCTTAGTGGGATTGTGCCTTCCATTGTAGAATAGGGAAGATGGACTTTAAGATATTAATTCAAGCATTGTTATTGTCCTTTGCTCGAATCTCAGTGAGTCAAAAAGACAAGATCCCAGCTTGCAGTTCGGCTCCCGGGTCCATGTAGACCCAGGAGAAATGGGGGTAGTCCTCTCAGGCAGTGCTTCTTGACTTGGTTCCTGGCCCTGGTGGCAGTAGCATAGAAGGTTTATTTAAAGCTCCTTTCCTTGAGATTAAAAGAGAACATTCATACTTCTTTTCTTTTAAATAGTTTGTTTGTGTTTTTGTCTAAGAGAGAGAGAGATAAATAGAGAGAGAGAGAGAGAGAGAGAGAGAGAGAGAGAGAGAGAGAGAGAGAGAGACACAGATGACAAAAAAGTCATTATCAGGTGTCCCTCCCCCATAATATTCCCTTCTCTCATTTTGATAATGTGATTGATCACCCTGTGGGACTAAAAAATTAAAACTTTACTATTCTTACCTAAAAGAAATGAAACAGAGAAAGTTAAAAAAAGAAGAATAAAAAGAAAAAGAAGAAATTATAACACTAGGCAGGAGTGTGTGGGGAGTTGTTTTGCTGTTCACAATACTGTACCTCACTGACAGGAAACCAGCCCAGGCTTTGCATTGCACCTGGTACCTCAGTAGACCTTTATATCCCTTTTCTCATCCTCCCACCCCCACCCCCATCCTCCTACAGGGTATTACGGGCTAATACTTCTCACATTTTAATTTGCAATAGACTTGTCTAGGGATCTGGCTAAAAAGCAGATTCTGAGTCAGTGGATCTGCATTTCTAACAAGCTCCCAGGGGAAGCCTCTATTGCTGATTCGTGGGAACCATCACACTTTGGGCTGGAGGGTGAGGAAGAATGATTGAGCACAGGCTTTGGAGTTAGGGTCCCTGGTTCAAATCCCAGCTCTGTCTTTTGTAGGCTGTGTGATTGTGGGCAGGGTGAGCTTTTCCGCTTCTCTGCAAAATGAGATAGTCACAGCATGGGGTTGACTTGAGGATTAAATAAACTAATGTGTGTAGGCCACAGTCAAGATAGGCTCCTAGCCGAAACCCGGTTTGACTCAGTGGATAGAGCTGAAAGGTCCCAGGTTCGATGCTGGTCAAGGGCATGTGCCTTGGTTTCTGGCACATCCCGAGTGGGGGGTGTGCAAGAGGCAGCTGATGGATGATTCTCTCTCATCAATGTTTCTGACTCTCTATCCCTCTCTCTTCCTCTCTGTAAAAAATCAATAAAATATTAGGTCTAGTAATAATTAATGTCGTTTTCTAATACTTTTTAAAATCAAATTTATTTAAACAATACAACAAAATTTAATCAACAATATAGTTGTCGTTGTTTTCTACTACTTGTGCCCAACACTCAGGAAGCATTTTAATCCCTCTGTTGTAAAATTCTTGTGATTTTGATGCAAAAAATTCGGTCAATGCATTTTTGAGGCATTCTTCATTATTAAATTTTTTTCCAAGAAGAAAGTTTTGCAAAGAACGAAACAAATGGTAATCAGAAGGGGCAATATCAGGAGAATATGCAGGTTGAGGGAGAACTTCCCATTCCAACTGGCGCAGTTTTTCAGCAGTGATTCTTGCAGTATGCGGTCGTGCGTTATCGTGAAAAATTACGCCCTTCCGATTAATCAGCGCGGGTTCTTTTTCTCTTAAAGCTTGGGCTAACCTTTCCAATTGGGCACTATACACTGCACTTGTAATGGTTTGGTTAGATGGTAAAAGTTCATAATGAAGAATTCCTTTAAAATTCCACCAAACACACAACATCACTTTTTTCGCATGCAAGTCAGGTTTTGGCGTGGGCTGCGGAGCCTCATTTTTGTCCAACCATTGAGGCCGCCTTTTCAAATTAACATACAGCACCCATTGTTCATCTCCGGTAACAATTTGCTCTAAAAACGGCAAACGGTTTTGACGAGAGAGGAGCGAACTGCAAATTGTGACTCTTTGATTACGGTTGTTGTCGGTCAACTCATGAGGAACCCATTTTCCAAACTTTTGGACTTTGCCAAGTGTACGCAATTGATTGGAAATTGTTTTTTTGTGAACAATTTAAAGTTGTTGCAAGCTCTTGTTGGGTAATTTGAGGATTTTGCACCAAAAGAGCTTGAAGAGCTTCTTGATCAAAATTGGACACACGGCCTCGACCACTCTTGTCATCTAACGAAAAATTTCCCTCGCGAAATTTCTCAAACCAACGCTGGCATTTTCTGGCGCTAACTGCATCTTGACCAAGAGCACTACAGATGTTTTTTGCAGCCTCACTTGCTTTTCTTCCTAATTGGAACTCGTAAAGCATGCAGTGCCGAATATGCTCTTCATCCGCCATCTTCTTAGCCCTAGTTTTGCAACAAAAACCAAACCAAACACAAACTTTTTCAAGCAAAACTTGTTAATTGCACTTCACACATTCTGTAGATACCACGTGTTTGAAGGTTATGTCAATACAAGTCAACGCCAAGCAAGATTTTAAACAAATGTTAAAAAATGACATTAATTATTACTAGACCTGATATATTAGAAAAAGAAAAAAGAAAAAAGAAAAAGATAGGCTCCTAGCAAAGAACAATGAATGCTAATTTACGTCTTGGGGGCGGGGCCAGCGCCGATAGGGGCGGGGCCAGATCTGGGGGCGGGCCGAGAGCAGGGAGGGGCGGGGCCTGCGCCGGGGGCGGGGCTGTGCCAGCCCGCACGCAGGCGCAGCTCCTAGTGCAGGGGCCTCAGGTAAGACCGCGGGGCGGGCGCCAGCTGGGGAGTACGGGAAGTTTTTTTTTTTGGGGGGGGTCCCCTCGTTATGCTGAGGACACTCGGGGGTCAGTGCCTCCCCGCTCAGGCCGCCGCACTGACCGAGTGTTTCCGGGTTGCTCGGCGACCTGGGCCCCGCGGCGGGCCGGGCCGGGCGGGCGGCGCAGGCCGGCTGGAGTGCCCTGAGGTCGCGGGGCAGCCGGGGCGCCCGGGCAGCTGGGCGGCCGGTGGGCGCTGCGGGCTCCGGGGATGCGGGGCTGAGGGGGCTGAGGTTCGTGGTAGCCGGCCTGGGGCCGCGCGGGCTGCCGGGCTTTGGGGTGGGAGCCTGGAAGGTTGTGGCCGAGGAATCTTGCCCAACAGCTGGAGTCTAGAATCCAGACTGGGGGCCCTGCTGCCGGCGGGGTGCTGCCTGGACATACCGAGCCGAGCCGTGCAGATGCCCAGCTTTGGTGCACAGATGAGGGGTTCGGGATGCCACATGGAGCCTGGGCTTAAGCTTGTGTGCCTCGTGTGACCACAGCCCCGTGTGACCGCAGCCCCGGCCTTCTCTGAGCCCCCTGGAGGAAGCTTTCTTTGAAACGTCACCTAAGTTTAAGGTGACCAGACGTCCCGATTTTTAACAATCTGTCCCACAACCCGCGGCGTTTTTAAAAAGTCCCAATTTCTTTCCAAAAATTGGGACTTTTTTTTTAAAACGCCGCGGGACGCGGGGACAGATTGTTAAAAATCGGGACTGTCCCGCCCAGAGCAGGACAACTGGTCACCTTACTAAGTCCCAACCTTCTCAAGAAGCTCGTCTGCTCTTGTTTCTCCTCCGCAAGTTAGTGACCTAACTTCATTGTGGACAGCGTGCCTTTGGGGTCTTTATCTAATGGGCTTTATTGGTGGCTACAACCTGAAGCTGAGGGGCTTGCCATGTAAAACGTGTTTGTACACACACACACACACACACACACACACACACACACACACATATATATATATATATGAGAGGCCTGGTGCACAAAATTTGTGTGGGTGGGGAGAGGGGTCCCCCTCAGCCCAGCCTGCACGCTCTCCAATCCGGGACCCCTTGGGGATGTCTGACTGCCGGTTTAGGCCCGATCAGAGATTGGGCCTAAACCTGCAGTTGAACATCCCTCTCCCAGTCCTAGACCGTTGGCTCCTAAACCCTCACTTGCCTGCCTGCCTGGTCACCCCTCACTGCCACTATGTGCTGGCCTGATTGCCCCCCTCCCCTCCCCCAATCCTGTTAGCCTGGTCACCCCCAACTGCGCCCTTGCAGCCCCCACCCCTCTGGCCTGGTCGCCCCACTCAGCCTGTTCAGTCGTTTGGTTGTCCCTCACTAACCCCCCTATGGGCCTGGTCGTAGGCAACCATATTGTGAGGGTGTGAGGGTTAATTTGCATATTGCCTCTTCATTATATAGGATTTTCAAGAAAGGTGAATGATTTATTATATTGTGTTTTTGGACTGTTTGAACCTTTAACCTCACTCTCTTCAACAAAACAAAATGACATTTTACTGCAATTCCTTACACTGAGTCTGGCAACAGGCAGGCTGTTTTGTTCTTTTCACCCCTTCAACATTAAAAATATGAGAGTACCCATGAGGGCTTACTTCCTGACAGTAATGTACGGCATTGTAGTGAACAGCAAAACAACTCTCCTCACCCACTCACCTGCCTGATGATTATAAGTTGTTTTTTTTCTTCTTTCACTTCCCCTGCTTTTTTTTGGGGGGGGGGGGGTAAGGATAGTAAAGTTTTAATCTTTTAGTCCCCAAGGATCACATTATCAAAATGAGAGAAGGGAATATGGGGGTGGGGTGGGGGGGAGAGACACCTGATAAGGATTTTAGTAGGATACTACAAAGGTAGGGCATTTAATTACCTCCCCACCCTCAGGTGTGTGAAAAGGAGTCCCGAGTGAACGGAGGAAAGGCGAGACAGTGAGCTAGCTGAGCTGGGGCTGCAGAGTATTAGAGAACATTCCATCTGCACAAAGGACCGAGAACAAGGTGACAAAGAGCACACTCAGGACAACAGCAAAACTAAGATAATCACACTGGGAATGGGGTTATTTTTGTAGAAGTGGCATTGCGTTTTAATACGCTCGTTTTGGTTCACGTGTATTTGTTGTTAAACTCAGGATGGGCCGCCCTCTGGAACCACTGGCAAAGAAAGTCTTTAAAGGAGTGTTAGTAGCCGAATTAATGGGCGTCGTTGGAGCATACATTCTGTTTAATAAGATGGACACAAGCCAAGGTAATAATTCAGAAGTGCATGTTTTATAGAGGGGTATAGTTTGCTAATGCCTTTTAGGTGCTAAATGACAGAGAAACCGCTTCTTCAGATTCAGGTCCTTAGGCATTTTTATGGCCCAAGGGGAAACTAGGTGTTGATTATTGTAATGATTCTTAACTTCCTCCTAAAAAAGCTGTTGCAGACCAGGGAGTATGTTTCACACTCCCCTCGTTTTCCCAGCGCAGGGGTGGGGAAGAGAGCTAGTGTCCTTGGTCAGGCTTGGTGTGGGAGCACAGATGTAGCAAATGCACCTCCCTGTTTGGCAGGCTGAGAGGAACACAGCCAAACTGTCAAAGTAACCAGTTTCTTAGGCATGCAGTTCTCATCGGTACCTGGCACTGAAAACCTTTTCAATGCTCTGGCTATTAAAGTGCTTTGACCTACTGTGGGGTGAAATTCTGAGAGCTGACAAAACTTTATTTTTTCAAGTATGTTTTCACTTTTTCAAACGGTGACCTCCTGGTTCATGGGTCGACACTCAACCACTGAGCAACACTGGCAGGATTCACAAACTTTTAAATTAGGAAGTGCTGCTTTTGCTTTTACTAAAGCAGGGAATAGCGACTCCTTGTGGTGGCCATCTTTGAAAGCTGTCATTTGTTTTATTAAAAAATACTTCACCAGAATGGTTCCACGATGCTATTGGATATTCACTCTATGCTTTTGTTTTTAATCCTCACTCTAGGATATTTTCCCCCATTAATTTTTAGAGTGGAAGGGAGAGGAAGACAGAGAAACATCAATGTGGGAGAGGCACATTGATTGGTTGCCTTCCACACTGGCCCCCATTGAACCCTAGGGTTGACCTACAGCTAAGGTACATGTCCTTGACCAGAATCAAACCCAACACCCTGCAGTGTCCAGGCCGATGCCCTAACCGCTGAGCAAAACTAGCTAGGGCAGTCTCTATGCTTTTAAACTATAAGGGTATAAAGGAAAACATCCAAATAGAATTTAAAAACCAATTAAGTTTAAGATCAACTTAAAAAACTGAGTATTGTACAGTCTTATTTTTAATTCTAAAACAAGGTAAAATTGCACCCATAAAAATAATTTATAAAGTTACATAAGAGAATTACACATTAACATTGAAAACTTGCCTTTAAATACCACTTTTAAGTAAATTACATGATATATGTAGGTCAAAATGTTAAAACTTCAAAATAACTACGGAAGCCTATATGCAAGTGCAGTGTAGACCCAAAAGGATATATTTCCTGTATTACCAGGACCTTAACAAAAATTTGTAATCTGTGTGATCCCTACTTTATACACCCTAAGGTTAAAATATGGCTGCATATTTTAATATAAATCTCTAATCATGCCTAATTTAAAAATTTTTTCATCAGATTTTAGGCAAACAATGAACAAGAAATTTCCCTTCATCTTGGAAGGTACGTTTCAGGAAACCTGTTCATCTTATAGGTATTTATAACTTTTCTCTTAATTAAAAATAAAACTACAAAAAGACGTTTTCAGGTAATCTATATACACTAAATAGTAATTTCTTTATGATTAAGGGCGAAATGACTTATTTTGTGATGTTAATTTTAAAAATATATTATTCATCCCTATTTTGGCTCCTGAGAACAGAGTAGAGAAAATTCTCACCTAGAGTTATCCAGATGAGAGCAGTTAGCCCATGGGCTGGATTTTTAATTCTTCCAGTGGTTAAGAATGTAGACTATGGATGAGTCATACCTGAGGTGGCGATGGGAGTCAAACCACAGCTTAAAGTTTAAAACCAATCACAGGTTTGCTAACATCTTGGAGCTATTTCTTTCTCTGTCAAGTAGAGATGATCATACCTATTTTACCAATTGTTATAAGGATCAAACGAAGTAACATTATGTAATCAGCACAGTATCTGCCTAATAAATAGTGTTCATTACAATCATCAGTACAGGTTCTAGAGCTTCTACAGGAAATACCAACAAGAAGGGAAAAGAAGTTTATTTTGCAATAGTGTTTAGTTTTAATATTTTTACATGATTTTATAAATGACAACTATTTTTTAATTTATAGTTTATTACAAATCCATTGAATATTCTGGAATATATGGAGTCAGAGAGCAAGATCAAGAAAAATGGTTGAACAGCAAAAGTTAGGAGTAAGTACAATCTGAATTTATAATTTATTTAGAAAACACTCATTTTCTTTGCTTTTTAATTTTTTGAGGGGTTTTTGGCCTCTTCTTTTTGAAACTTTTCTTTTTCCTGATGATACTTTTCACATCTCTGTTGTGTAGCCAGTCATCACGTTCGGCCTCCCATCTGAGCTGTTTGAGGCCTTTGGGGGAGAGAAAGATGAACACACCACACTGTAGCCTTTTGGAGGCCCCAAAGAATATCCTGCTGAATCACAGGAGCTGCTGGTCTGCCTGCCAGGGTCTACAGCTGTTTTCCAACCACACTGCAAACCCCCTGCTTATGTGTAACTTTCCTTCTGCATTTAATGTCAGAGATTACTGTTTTATTTATAAGAGACCAGGACAGGAAAGGAACAAATGCTCTAAAGATTTTATTTCCCCTGAACCCTTTTTACTGGCAAAAACCAGAAGCTAGTAACTATGAATATCAGAAAAAATTAAAATGTGTAAAAAGCATTTAAAAAGTCACTTAGCAAAAAAAAAATTCAAGTTACTTACTTGCATTATCTTTGTTAGCCATGGCATTCATGCCAATGTTGTCAAACTTGGATCCCATGTTTTCATCCAATAGGTGGCCAAACTTAAATAAACAAACAAAAAAAGGGGTGGGGGAATACATTTATCAGAAAACTTAAAACAATGTGGGATAGCTAACTTCTTAAAGTAGTACATTCATTACCCTTTACCTCTTCAGCAGATACAAATAGGTTGGGGTCACTAAAATTCCTTTTCTTTTTCTTCCTGGGTCCTAAAAGAAGTATAAACCTAGATTAAATTTTAAAATCCAATGATTTTGGAAAAAAATAAATCTTTCAATATGACTTTAAAAAAATTTATATTAGGGATAAAATACAAAATTTGCAATTATTTTCTAACACCATTAGGTAGCTGTACTTACACAGATATGTACTTAAAAGTTAGTATATACTATTTTTTTAAAGTATCCTAATAGAATTGTTCAGATGATTTTCTGTCTTTTTGTCTTTCAGATTTGGTCACTGATCACTGTTTACCCTATCTTATAGTATTAGGCATGAATAAATTTCCAAAGGTGACATGGATAGATTTTGGAATATTAAAAGCAAAACGTAAATTCTAATTAAGCCAGAGCTTTTATTTTTTGGACTAACTGTGAAGAAATTTATGGAAAGTATGTTTATTATGTTATAAATAAAGTTTTCTTTACACCACTCAAAATAGAATGGTTCTTTAAAAAAAACACCTATAATTCTGGATATGTAAACTTTTCAAAATAGATAGAGTAAAACATCTATTTTTAATACTTAAATTTTAATTCACACATTTAAAACCCCAATATCTAAAACTATATTAACTAGAAATAGTTTTCATCCATTTCCTGAAGTAATATTATCCAATTTACATCTTTGACATCAATGTATCTGGCACTATTAGAGTCACTATTTAAAAAAAAATAAAAATAAAAAAATATATATATTGATTTCAGAGAGGAGAGGAGAGGAGAAAGATAGAAACATCAGTGATGAAAGAATCACTAATTGGCTGCCTCCTGCATATCCACACTGGGGATCAAGCCCACAACCTGGGCATGTGCTCTTGCCTGGAACTGAATCTGGGACCAGTCAGTCTGAAGGTCGACGCTCTATCCACTGAGTGAAACTGGCTAGGGTTAAAGTCACTTTTTTAATACAGCTGTACTAAGAAATAAAATTTGTCATAAAATTCAGTTGTTTTAAGAGTATAATCCAATACATTTCAGTTAATTTACAGTTATTCAGCTGTCATCACAATGCAATTTTAGAATATTCCCACAAACTCCAAAAGATCCCTAGTGTCCATCTGTAGTAACATGACCCCTCCCATGAAGGCTTTGCCTTTTCTGGCTATCTGTATATATATAAAACCCTAATATACAAAAAGACCAAATGGCAGAACCACCAGTTGCTGTGACGTGTGCTGACCACCAGGGGCGCATGTGGAACATGGTGGGCATTGGTAGCAGGCGGGATGGTGGAACAGAAAAGTGGGAGTTTCAGACCAAGGCGGTTGCGCCATCATTGGGGCGAGCCTCTGGAGGTTACTAAAAATTCTTTGCTCCTTTGCACTGTGGTCCCTCCACCCCCTGCTCCTAAAGGGCGATCGGGGCCCTTGCACTGCTGCTTGCACCCGCTGCTGGCGCCAGCCCCAATCGCTCTGTGCCATCAGCAGGAGTAGGGCTGCCGACATATAGAGGTCGGGCCGTGGCACAGAGGATGGGCAGAGACCTGCCCCTGTGCCCACCACAGCCTCGTGGCTTACAGTTCCTTTCAAGGTGCACGAATTTGTGCATTGGGACCCTAGTTTTATATAAATGGTTTTCTGAATCTGGTTTCTTTCCCTTTCTCATAACAAATTTGAAGCTCATCCATATTATACAATAGCATGTTCCGCCACTCCATTCCATTTTACTGTTGAATGCTATTTCATTACATGGCTATACCATATTTTTACTATCTAATCATTAGTCAATAGACATTGGGCTGTTTCCACTTTTTGGCTATTATGAATAATGCCGCCATGTACAAGTCTTCACGTGAATATACCAGAGTCACTTGTGATAAAATAGCTTCTAGAGTAGGGGTGTCGAACTCAATCAGAGAAGGGGCCAAAATCTAAAATCCAGCCTAAATCGCGGGCCAAATGGTTTACTGAACAGTCATAAACTGTCATTGTGATGGAAACGCAGCGGAGTGCAGTGATGACAGCGCGGTGCGGGCCACATTGCAAGGCCTGGCGGGACAGATTTGGCCCTCGGGCCTTGTGTTTGACACATGTGTTCTAGAGCATTTTACCTTAATTTTTATCCAAGTGAAATGTATGTTATATTATTTAATTGTTCACAATACTATTATTGAATATTTTATGTTAGGCTAAAATGCTTATTAGCATAGGATTAGGAAAGATTTTTCCCCCCATTCATCTTATAGGTACAGATCTATAACTTCAATTGGTAAACAATTCTGCTGCACTGCCTTCTTAAAGTTTCCTTAACGTTTGATTTTCCTTAAGAATATCCAACATTTGTAAATTAAGGTGGAGCCCTCAGGATCAATAAGTCTGAAATTCCTTTGCTTCTTTTTTTGTTTTAATCAATTCTATCAGGTATACTTTAATCAGCATTCAAAACTTTTACTGAGATTCTTTCAGACTATTGTCTTCTGAAAACTGTACTGATCATTAAAAAAATAAGGTTACTGAGAGAGTATCTTTTAATGACAGGCTCAGTAGGACTTGTTTTAAAGCAACATTTATTTCCTGTGAGATGATTTTGAGGAAAACTTTGTCTTATATTTGAGCACTTGGCTACTATTAATGTGACCTTACAGTACTCGGTTGAAAACGAAGTGTTGAAGATATTGTAATTTAAATATGTACCAGGTAAATCAAGCTAAGTAAGAGGACTGATTGTTAGCAGTATTTGAAAGAGCTGATAGAAATTTTGTAGGCATAAAATATCTGACTACTACCAATATATAGTTTTTATTATTTTTGATATTTATTGTAAAAATATTTAATGTAAAAAGTTTTAAGTATTTCTCAATTTTAATAAAATATTGTTTTGTTTTTAATTTTGCAAATCTATTTTTATTCATCAGTACCAGTAAACAGAAGTTAGAGAGGCAAAGGTGAAAAAAGCACAATCCTGTGTTTTCCTTTTGTAAGATTTTTACTTGACTTTCAGAGACAGAGGAATAAGAGGGAGAGAAATATGGATGTGCGAGTAAAACATCAATCAGCTGCCTCCTGCATACCTCCCAACAGGCATCGAGCTGGCCCTGATCAGAAATCAAACTGGCAACCTTTTGGTGCAACCAATTGAGCCACACCAGCCAGGGCGCTTGTATACTTACCCACAGAGTTATGGGATACAATATTTATTGTATGATTGCTGTCTATATTTGTATCCCACAATATTTATTGTATGATTGCTGTCTATATTTGTATCAAAAACTGAAGGTGATGATAGTACTTTTTTCTTTTATTAGTACCTTAAAAGTGCTACTTTAAAATAACGTTATGATATACTTAAAAGAATTTCTATCTGTTTTATATTAGATATTTGTGAGATTAGAATTGTCTTGACAAGGCAGTAAGGTGGCAGATCTCATAAAAAAGGAAAATAAAATTAATAAAGAGTATAGATTTTCAGAAGAGTCAAATGGCAAAGAATAAGATTTAGTTGAAAAAGGCAAAAGGTATCTATGAAAAACCTGAAAAACCAGAGCTTACATATAACTGAATGGTTAAAACAGAAATCATCTAGAGATATTTAGATGTAAGAGAAAAGAATTCAGGAAGAAAAAGTAATTAAAGGTGTATGTAAGATAACTTCCACATAAAAATGTTACTCTCCATTATAAAAGTAATTGTACTACCAAAAATTGAGAGAAATTAATTAAAAAAAAACACAAGTAATAACTTTCTTTTGCACACTGCTTAGGTTTCAAAGGGACTAAATGCATTTTCTTACCTTGAAATGATTCAGCAAAGTCAAAATCATTTGCACTTTTCCTCTTGCTTTTATTAGAATTGACTTTGGAGCTCACTTCATCATTAAGGTCTGTTACCAAAAAATGTGCTAGTAAGTAATTTAAAAGCAATAGGACTGCTATAGAGTTATGCTAAATGATAAATATTAACTTTTAGAAAACACTAATTACTATTTTAACATTAAAAAAGGCAACTGTGGTGATTTGGGGGGAGGGGAGAGGTGGAAGAGGGATAAATAGTGTTGGAAAAATTTTTAAAAAGGAAGCAACATAACAGCTCAACAGGTATATCACAGGCATACTGAGGAAGAAACGAAGATCTAGTTTGTTTCTGTCTTAATTTTTGAAATGCTTACCTTGACTGCCCTCACTCTCATCATCCAACACATCCATGAATGTTCCTCCATCTTCATCAATTTCAGTAAATTCTTCATTCATGCTTCCTAAAGAAACTTCATCATCATCTAAGTTATCAAGGTCATCATCACTATCTTCTGAATCTTCATCTTCGGGCTCACCCTTGGCTCCTTTTGCTTTCTTTTTCACGTTGCTGAAGAAAAACAACAACTTGTAAGGTAAAAGAGGATGGTTTTCTAAAATGTGGCTTGGTGCCTACCAGAGGTATTAGGCTATTAACAGGTTTAAAGGAGAGTTACAGAAGGCTCAGAGCCTTTATTTAATATACTAATATGCATTATAAAAGATCCAGAATAAAAGTAATGGATCCATTTCCCAAGTTTATTAATACCACTACTGTTCTGAGGGATCATTGGGAAATGCTGAGAAAACAGTTAAAAAAATATTGAAGAAATGTATTTTACCCAGCAAAATCAAGATCATCCTTCCCAGAGGTGAAACAGTTATCATCTTCAAATGTATCTGCCAGATAACAATATATGAAGTGTGAGATATAGCAAAGAAGACCAGTTGACATGTCTTATTTTTTAATTAACAGTCATGATGCTTCTGTTTATGACAAAAACCAAAATAAACCTGTGAATATTCTGGCCTTAATTAAATTACTCAACTAAAAAGGGTTCCAGTTAATTTCAGCTTGTTCCTACAGTTTTATAGGAAGGTAAATATCAAATAAATATTTAGCAACTGCTGTCCTTTTTACTCCATGCAACTATTTAAGCCTACTCAATGTAAGCCTTTCTAATTTCCCATGTTTCCTGTTTCAGTGTAAATCTTAATTAAAATTTTCTAGCTCTGTGGAGTATAAAGATAAAACAGAGTAAGTAGTAGACTATTGCTACCAATAATGCAAGGCAGTTAGTAACAGTAAAACTTCTATAGACTTGGCTTTAAGAATGAATATGCTCAGGTAAATATAACTTTTTTCCCCCTCCACAAATTGTCAAAGAACAATCACATGTTTTTCTGCAGCAAATGTGGGTGAATTATCATTATCTCCCCAAATATATTTTAATCCTTCACTGTGATCTGCATGGTATTCTTAGTTAAATAAATTTTTTAAACTAAGGTTACTTCTACAATTAATACTCCATGGTTCTATAAGTAAATAGTAATAAATTATTTTACAAATTACCAATCATCTTTTCAAATTCCTCATCATCCACATCTTCTATACTTTCTTCATCTGCATCCCGTTTTTGTTTCTCTTTAACAATAGCAACTTTTTTATAATACCTAAAATAAAATTCATGTTACATCTTTAATAATTTTACTAAAGAGCCCACTTTATTATAATCGAAGAACTTATTGGTCAGTCACCAAAACAAGTGTAA